GAAAGATAGAGATGTGTGCAGGTGTGTGTATGTGCATACATCTATATTCTACTTCCGCTGGTTGAGAGGGCTAGAAGCTGTACCACTCCAATGAGTTCTAAATACTTCTTTCCACTAAAAGGAATCAGGGACCCTTAAAGAAATGGCTGTTTCTAGGGCTAAGACTGGGAAAATATAAGATGAGTTTCAAAGTGCTCAAAGAATAATGAGGACATGTCAAAAGGAACAAGGGGGTTTCAGTTGGCCAAATCTGGAATGATTTTAGTATCTAAAAACCTAACGGACAGAGTAAGTATCCACAAGTATATTGAATATATATGAATGAATGGAGAAAAAAGAAAAACTCTTTGTTATAGTAGAAAGTCAACTCATAAATGGAGAAGGAAAGAAAGAATTAGAAAATAGCCGTGTGGCAACCAGCATAGTGGAAAAATAACAATTCAGGCAAAAATCGTCAGTGGATGCCAAAAGTAGCAGATTACAGTATGATCTTTACAATAGTGTCAAACCATGTCTCCACGAGTTGATAATTACAAAGGGGAAAACAGCAATTCTACAGTGGAGAAAGCTAACAAGCACCATCTTAACTAAGTGATCAAAGTTAACATTACAAATAATGCACAAATCACCATCATACACCTCCTGAAATGACACACTGAGCAAAACACAAAATTGCCTCTGCAGATTCCTGTCATATATATAGAACCTGAACCTACTCATGAAGAAACAACAGACAAGACCAAATTATAGGACATTCTACCAAACACCTGGCTTGCATTCAACGAAATGCCAGAGCTGAGAAAGACAAAGTAAAGCTGAGGGTTCTGTCCCAGGTTAAAGGAGACAGAGAGACATGACAGATGAAAGCAGCACGTCAACTGGGATTTCTGTTGTTGTTGTTACAAAAGACATTGTTGGGACAACTGGTGAAATCTAAATAAGGAGAGTAAATTGGAAAATGGAATTACATCAGTGTTAATTTTCTTATGTTGATCATTATGCTGTTTATGAAAGATAATGTCTTTGTTTTTAGAAAACACAAAGTATTAAAAAAAAACAGTATATAAAATGTATTTGGAAATAGCAAAAACAAAACAACCAACCACTTTAACATGCTGCCCTGAGGAGCCAGAGGCTTACTGTACTAACACAAAATGAAAAGTATTTGTAACTTTAAATACGGACAAAAAGTCCAAAAAACTTGGAATTCAAAATAATACAGATGAATTGTCACTACAATATAATCAGTGGTATTTAGGGAAAAAAGTCCCTATACTTCAGCTTTGTTTCACGTAAGCCTTACGTTTTTTTGCCAGAAAGTCATCAGTTGTCTGATTTATTTCCTGCTCTCTTAATGTATCAATTTTAGAGGAATGCTTTTCCTTTCTGTGCTCAGGATGACGACTCCCTTCTCTTTCAGAAGAGAAAACTATAGGCGTTGCCCACTACTCTTCCCAGTTCATTCTTTGAGTGATGGGAGATGTAGCCACATGGGGTACAATTTAACAGAAGGGATAGCTTTCGATTCGATTACGTGCCTACATGTGTGCTGGTCAAATGCCCATTTCAGAGTGGTTGTTGGACAGCAGTTTGATATGCAGAGCGCCTACCCTAATTCCTAGTGTTTCTCAGGGTCTAAAATAATGCAGAGCTGCCAACCTGATGTGGTACTTTCCTCCTGCACAAACAGTGTTTAGCTCTGTGAAGTCCCAAAGAGTTTTTTAGAAATCTAAAAACTAAAAATCAGAAAGCATAACACTCTCCACATCTCTGCCTCTAGCTAATACTCTTTACTTGGATAACATACCTGCTAGGTACAGTGCACCATCCTCAATATTAAATCCTGCCCACCTTCTAAGTGGCTTTTGGAGGACACAGTCTCCAGGTGAGTGTAGAAAAGGAGGTTCTGCAGGAGGTGGGCAGCAGGGGGTGTGAACTGCACTCTGGCTTGCCTGCAACGGGCAGTAGGGAGCTGGCTGGCTGGGCTGACAGTGAGGAAGGAGAGAGGGTCTTCTTGCTTACTAGTTAAGGTGGGTCATCAATTGTGCATTTTATTTTTAATCCAGTTTCATCAGACATGTGGATAACAGAAAGTCTTTACAGATTCTGGCAAATAGGAAGATTGGCAAGAATTTTCCCTGTTATTAAAAAATTGTTTTTCTGCATCTTTATATATGTTTTAATAGGGAGTTCTAAGAAAGTATCTTGAGCTGCTGGTTAGGTGCCATCTTAAAGTGGAGTCTTGAAAGTTGAAAGTCATAGCAAGAAGCAAATAGAAATGTGAACTGTTCAAAAGAATATAATCAAACTAAAAGAATTTTGGAGGAGTAAAGGAGTTACATTACAACATAATCAGGCAAAACAGTATCTTAAAAGATTTATTGAAATTAATGGATGCAACATCATCATTCTCTCCACCCCAAACAATTTTATTTAATTAGCAAATGTCATAGTTATTGAAACTAAGAGATATGCAGATAGTAGAAATGTTTTCTCTAAAAATATGAGTTACATAATTGAGAAGAATGATTTCTGCTTTAGAACAGCAATGGATTTAGGATGATTCTTTCTATACCATCCACACCTCACTTTAAATTTTCTTCAAGTTTAAATTAACATTAAATAGTGGATCAGCTTCATGTTTATTTAGCATCAAGGCCACTGCTAGTCAATAAGGTACCTCTGTGCATATTAGCAAAAGGCATCCGTTCTGGGCAGATGCTCCATGGACTTCACAAGTGGAAAACAGCTGTATTTCAGCTTCCTACTGACTCTGTTGACTCAGGCACCTTTGTGCAGAGCACATACTACACAGATGTACAGAGCAGAACCCACATACTGAAGAAATCCAGATGCACATATTTGTGACATTATTAAGAGAAAAATATTTATGCAGTCAAATCACGGACACGTAACATATACAGAAAATTCCCAGGATGTCAGATACATAGGTACAAATGTAAGGATAGAATTTAGCCCACAGCGCGAGGCAAATGTGTGCTTGCTTCTGAGGGAGGGAAAGAGCAAGCAGGCATGTAACTAGAACAGCAGATATAATAACTCAGATAGAGACTGATTTTATTTGGCAACTTTACTGATTATTATAGTTATTTTAGAAGATCAAATCACTTTTATGATAGATTTTATGATAAATACAGCCTACTGTAGTATACTTAAGTCATACTGTTTCTCTATCTTTGAAGATCTGTTAATCTACATAGAATGCATGTTTATATTAGATCTTGAAATAAAAAAATACACAATTTCAAGTTATACATATTTTCTAAAAATATACACAAATGTATTTTTTGAATGATTACCTAAAAAACAAAACGGCTGATATAACCAACTGCAGGGCTTTGAAAAGCAACAAATTTTTGTTGTTAAATGCTACAAAGTGCAAAGAAAATGAAAAATGCATATACTCACTGAATTGGCATTTGTTGGGTTTGGCCAAGGTCTACCACCACCTGGCCCCCTACAAGACAACATGATAAATGAAATTTTACCTGATGCCACAATAAGCAATAATATCATAAAATAATAATGTTTATAATTCAGTTACTATGCAGTTCTAGTTCAGCACTGAAATTACTCCTTACATTTATTTTCACCGCTTTTTTATTTCTAAAATCCAAAAATTTTATCATTCCCCAAAACAGATTTCTTCCCAAATCAAACTGCTTCTAGTAAGCCCAGTTTTATTTTAAGTTCATGTTTTAAGTATAAATGTGGTAATCATCTATAGCAGTAAATATATACATTTAGTTAAATCATTATGAAAGCATGCTTTTGGAATAAAAATCACAAATTATGAAATAAACATAAACTATAATCTTGTGACATCAATATAAGCACTGCCCGTATCATTCAAAAAGAAAATGAAATCATTTGTAAGATAAATTATACATAAAATGATTATTCGCATTAAGTTCCACATAAATAAATGTAAATAATGTCCAAACTTGCCTCCTCTTCAAAAAAATTGCATAGACTATCACATAACTTTATATACATGTATATATCCACCTATCTTTCAGTGCTACTGATGATTTAGTTACCATTGAACAAGAAAATCACATTTCTTGTTTTCGTAATTGTAGTTCAAGACAGTGGCCAGAGTAAATCTTGGGAAACATAGGAGGTAATCTATGCCAATATATTACTTCACTTTCGGATGGAGGAAAATGTTTCATATTCCATAGCTTAAAAGGACATAAAGCTTTTAAAACAAAGTTAATGCCTAATTAATTAAGTCCAAAAAAGTCTCTTGTCCTCATACTTTTAGTATTACGTGTATCTGCATAAATACTGCCTGATAAAAAGTAGACCTCTATCAGCAGGTCCTCTATAATAAAAGTCACTCAAAATTCCCTTTCTCTCTAATCTCTATGAAAAGTCTGTGACATGTCTCCTGGTTCTTATTTTAGGGAACTTAAACCTAAAGTTCTAAATGTTAGAGGCTGTCCAAGTTAGCTGTATTACTTGTGTCTTCTTGGAATGTTGAAAACTGTTTTGAGCTTTATTTTGGGATTCCCCAGGAATGTCAGCAGTAGGAAAGGTCATGAAAATCGTGCCTTGAGCTCTGTTAGGATGCCCAAGTGCAATTTTTCCAAACCTGCTTGAGTAATAGAAGGGGAAAATATGATGCCTGAGGGGATGTGGTCAAAGTATTCCGCACAGGGAGAAGGCGCGGGGCACCTGTATTGTCCCTGGAAATTGTTCCTCTTTAACATGGTGATGATGACAATGATGATGATCTTACAATTAATTACTGAAACATTTAAAAAGATGATTTTATGTATAGGATTCAGTGTCCTAATGTGCAGAAACTGAGGTAAACCACTGGCTATGTGTTGATCAAGTAAAACATTTGACTTGTTTGATGTTAAATAGAACACAGTAAAGAAATTGGGAAATACTGATCTGTTTGAAAATATTTTAAGTTTTGCAAATACCGCTAAATAAAGTGGAGTTTATAGTAGCGAGCTGTTCTACCAGAACAACCACTTAAGCTCAGTAATTCCTATTCCTTCTGAGGGCCATCAGTATTATCAAGAAAGTGATCTATAAACTATAACGTAGGCATTATTTCGAATGCAAATGTCTACATAAGTGTAATTGCAAACAGAATCAGGTTAGCCTCACTTAAAAAGAGAAAAATGGAATTTAAAAGAAGTCTATTTTTTGTAAAGGGTATCTGGATACGATGAGATGAAGGCAGCCATGATTAGCAAAGAGAAAAATTCTTTTCTTCTGTAATTCAGTCATTTTATTTCAAGATAATAACTCTACAAACTTTATAATTCTATAGGATATTATCCAGAACAAGAAGATTTAGATTCTTTGAAATTCTTGGTCCTCAGTTTCAATTAAAATACCGAGGTGTACAAAGTTGAATTAGAAATGTTTTAATGTTGAATTCTACATTCTTTTGAAATTTGTAAAAAGGTGGTTTATTCAGAAATATAGTTTCCTTTAAAAATAATCTATAATGCATTTGAAAATATTTACATCATGATTGCAGTTTGTAAATTCTACTTCAAATTACTGAAATGGGTATTAAGCTTTATTTCTAAATATAACTAGTTATAGAAACATTAAAAGTGTACTCTTATTTTAATTTTAGATGACACTACATACAATTTATCCTGAGTTTAGAGTTAGAAAATGTTCAAAATTACATTAAAATAACCATTTTCTTTAGAGGCAACCAACATTTTTTTTAAACAACAAAATTATCAAAATTTCATTCCAAATAGTTTATTCTCAGTAAAAGATAAAGTTGTAGTTAGAATATGGTATTTAGTTTCTTTAGTGACCAGGGTTGGGTATTTTTTTTTTTTTTACAGTTGTTATACTTTTATGGCAAATAAGAAAAAGTGACAAGCTAAAGAAACCTCATCCATATAGGATTCTTCAGCATACCCCACCTCATCCTGACACACAAATATCTTAGACTGTTAAAAATATTGCTTAAAAAAAAAAATAGCTTAAGGTAATCCTACTCCAATGCCTTTTCCCTTGATTTTTAAGTTACCCAACATGTAAAAAGTGACATGAAGAAAGCCATAATTCTAGTTAGAAACACTTAATTATCGTAATACAGTGAGATTTACTTTGTTTTAAAGAAAATAAATTATGAAGTGGATTTCAATAAAATTTACTCTGTTGAGTATAATGGAGATAATAGTGTTTTATTTATGTCTCTTCAAATGCACTTTTGCTTTGTTGGAGCCAGTATCAATAAAAGAATTATTCTCTCTGGTTGGATCTTCCATACTTCCAAACTTTCCCTGTTAGGGGAAATATTTACAATTTCATTGTCTTTGAAGGAAACTTAATTTATAGAAAACTGAAAATGATATAAGACCCCAAATAAAAGTCCATAGTAACAAACAATGGAAATTTGAGTCTGTAAGGCTTAAAAGTTCTTTAAAAACCAGATATTATATAAAGTATAACTATATAAAGTATTATATTTAAAAATACTGGGTATATTTAATGAGAAACCAAAATATCAACAAAAACAATCACATTAAAATTTTCAGCCATATTTTTAGTCTCCATAGGCTAGGGAATTAAATGTACCCATAAGTATTTAAGTGTATGTGAAAAGAAACTAGACAGTTTTAAGCAGCTATTTGAGCCTCTAAATGGTCACATGGAATAACTTTTTTCTGTACTAGTAAAATCTGGCTAATTATCATGATGAATAATATAAAAAATGATAGTATATACATTCTTAATATTTAATGATAATTCTGGGTTGATCATAGCATTCAAAATTATTCCTTAAAAGTTAATTCCATTTTAAATTCAGAATCTTACAAAAGTAAATTATGTATCTATATCTATATCTACATCTATATTTAAATCCTATTGTTAAGAGTTTCAGCTTTTGATATAAACACAAGATATCATTCCTTTTCGTAGCAACCATTAATAAAGGCTAAGCCTTTGAGGAATTTAAGAAAAGTCAGACTTCGTGTCTATCCATTTTTACTTTAAAAGTGGAAAGATGTGATAGGAAAATTTGACCTACTTTTTTTCCTTGTTCTGTTAGGTTTGAGTCTGGCTGATACCCATCTATTAACCTATTTTCTATTTTAGGCAAAACTGCTTTCCATGAAAATGGTTTCAGAAACTTTAAAAAAATCCCTACATACATCAAAAGAGCATACCTCAGTATATATTCAATACCATTAAATGATGACAGAGTTGTTTAACTTGACATATAAGTAACCAAAACACAGACTAATGGGAAATACATTAAAGGAGACCACTCACAACCTTATATGGAACTCTTTGATTATTTCTGGTAAACTTTCTCTAGGCTACAGCATGAAATTAATCCACCTAATGAATTAAGGAGAGACATTAACAAGTACTGGGGGTGTATGGAACCTTGAGAGCAAGTCACATAATGGAAAATAAATCTTAACATACTACATCATATTGGCTGATAGAAGCAGCTACTTTGTGGTCTTGAAAGGCCTTTTCAGTAAACAAGACAAATCAAAACACACAAACAACCCCCCAAACTGTTAGTTTACTCCTTATCTAAGTATATCTTGAATTTTCAAAAGAAAATATACTATGGAAAGTTCTTTAATAAAGGAAAAACTACCAGAGAGACTTCTTCCTGGGTAAACAGCAGTCCCAACAAAGCAAAAATAAAGACATATATATTTATGAATTGAAAACTCTTAGGAATCATATGTTAAAATGAAGTTATCAGTATTCACTTGTCTACTTCTGTAGACTTATGTCATGGTCCTGGTGTCAGCATCTCTTTACACTTTGTATGGACTACGTGAAGATTATGCTTATTTATAAGAGACTAATTTTTATGATAAATGAAACATGAAAATCAGACTATAAGTTGGCACTTATGGCATTTGAAAGTGGAAAAAAATGAAAGGTTGCAAGAGAAGGAAGATAAACACAGAAAAAATGTAAAAATGAAGCAAACACTACAGCTCATGTTTAGTTCACTTATACTAGTTTCTTTATATTACACAGAAATTGAGGAGCTTAAATTGTGATACAAATTGGTGTAGCTTTAGAAGACAGAAAATAGAACACTTTACAGGATAATATAGCATTTTGCTTACATGTTCATTCCAGGCATTCCAGGGCCACCTAAAGCATTCAGTGGGGGTCTCATTGCACCTCCATAGTTCTGTAATGATAACCAAGGGTCAGACTACCACAAAACAAAAAAACAAAACCAAAGAGGAGGGGGGAAAGAAAGGAGAGCAGGTTAATGATTTCCCTACATAACTCCTGACTGGATAAGGCCTGTGCAATTCATTCTCTGAAGGGTCCACTCTTGTACTTTTGCTTCTATTTCAACAATTACTTTGGTTTGTGTCTTTTAAAAACTACGTGAGTATGTATGATCATTGAAGTACGCTACATGACTAAGGTATAGTTGCAATTATAATATTGAACATATCTTTATTAATTTCCTGACATCTGTACAACAGTGAACTTTTTCAAATGAAACATTTCATAAATTCAAAACTGTTTTTAAAGAAAAGATTTAGTCAACGTGTTTGAAATTGACCCAAAACAATTATACAAAGTCTGGGGGGATAAAAAGCCAAATAGGTGAATCCAACATAGTAAAACTGAATGCAAATTTCTGTTCACAAAATAATATATCCCATAGAGAAATGTACTAATGTACAAATCTACAAAAATATATGAAAACTTAAAATAGGTATGCATGAATTATATGACTCAATAGGTTTCTGTCAATATGTATATGTATTATATGCATTAAAAGGATAAAATATTTTAATGTTTTAACATATATATCAGCTTACTTTAGTTTACATAAAGCCCAAAAGATTAATTTTAACATTATCATGTTAATATATTTAAAAGATTAATTTTAACATTGTCATGTTAATATATTTTGACAGTATCAACTACTTTTCATATTTGGCTTTCTGACACCACTATTCCAGCTTTTCTTCTTCAGTTTCCTTTGCTGTCTCCTTTTTTGCTAACTCTTTAAATGTTGCTTTTCTCCAAGTGCTAGCCACAGTAGTCTTCTAAATAAATATGTATTTATGGGTAACCTTCATGGCTACCATTGGTTCAACAACTATTCATATGTTAGGAATTCTTTCATATTTTGTCATAATGTCTCCCCCCAGCTCTCAGATAACTGAACTGCATATGGGTTGTTTCTCTTTGAATACCATTTCACCCTCAATGTATCTAGAAGTAAAGTCAGTCTTATCTGTTCATGGCTGTGTTCTTCCTATTGCCTTTCTCAGTCAGTTCTATGGCATCACCTTCTCAGCCACAGTCCAGGCTAAGTACCTCTAGGAGCTCCTTGATACTTCTTTTATTTCAATTTCCATATCCAATCAGTTACCAAAGTCTATTGATTCTACCTGTGAAATAGCTCTTGAAATACTTCTCTCCTTCATATCACCCTTACTGAGACTACTGTGCTCTTAGTTGGTCTCTCTAAGCCTCTCCCCCTCTCAATCTAGTCTCCATACTGCCTCCACAACTTCGGTTTTAAAATTCAGTCCTACTTATGTCACTTAAAAGCCATGATGACCCACGCTGCTTAGCAAAGAAAGCCTATGCTTCAGCCTGGCTCCATGATGTTACCCACAGATCAGCCCTAGCCTGACTATCCTGCCCTCATTTTCTATAATATTCACCTTCTTCCCTTCTCCCAACTGCAAGCTCCAGACTACTGGATTTCTTATGATTCAGAAACATGCAATACACTTTTCACTCATGTTAACTCAGCTGCCATGGCCCTCTGTGTAGTAGGTACTAAGATGATACGGAAATACTCATTGAGAAAAGGTCAGTTAACTCCAGAGGGTAAGCCACAGTTTATAAATAAATAAATTACCTAATTACATGCTCATCTCATTATTTTTTACTTTTAGGAAATATTACTTAAACATCTCAATTCTGTGTGCTATGGGAGCGTAGAATAGTGTCTATCCACACTTGAGTCATTGGTTAAAAAGATAGCTAATTCCCTTAACCTCTGGATCAAGCATGGTGGTAGCAGCAAGGTATTAGCAAGGAGTTCTGAGAAGATAGTCACTGGGAACAAAACCTGAATGGTACAGTATAATAGAAATTCTTCATACACACAAAAAAACTGCCTCTCATTTTTGATCTTAGAAGATCTGTATTTTGTTTTATCAAGGAAAACTCTAGTTTTCCTTATAGCTCTGGACATAGAAAGATAGTGGTTTGAATCTCTTTTGCCCCTGCCCCATTTCCTCTGCCCCTCTTCCTATATGTGTGATGGTGGGCCAGTGATTCTCCCAATGATCCACTCAACCTTAATTTCCTTAACTGTGAAGTGATAGTATCATCTCTCATAAGCTTGTTGGAAGAAAAATGAAATCATATAAAACACCTCTCAGAGTGCTTGGTGCATTAAAAGCATGATACCTGATGTTCCAACCTTGTAATGGCTGACCCTTATCACTGTTAATAAGGGACTAACTTAAATGAGTCTTCATCTTCCTTTGAGGCCTCAACCCCAACAGAATTACATGCTGGTTTATGTAGTGACTCCCCGACAGATTATGCATATTTCTTTGCTAGATTTTTTCCTGCTGCCTAGTAGTTTTTCTTTATTTATCTGCATCTCCTGCTTATCTTGAAGGTAGAGTCTGTTTCACTCATTGTATAGCCAGTGTTCAAGTATCACAGTGCACAAGTGTCAGAGGAAATGAGTAAGAAATTATCCAATAATTTGACAGACTTACAAAATATTTTCATGTTGTGAATAATCTGAAGCAAACAGAAAACAGGAAGATAAGAAAGAAGAGCAACTGGCTTTCTAACTGGTAACAAAGGCAGAGCAGGAAGAGCTAATTCAGAATCACTGAATTTTAAAGCTGATGGCAGCTATACAGCTGTGCAGTTTAATCTTCCTCCCAACGCAACGTCCTGACAAAAGGGCTGTTCAGACCCTGCCTGGAAAGTTTATAAAGAGTTTTTCCATGATTGGGCAGTTTAACTTCTAGATAGTTCTTCCCTATGCTGAGCTAAATTCCCGTCTCATCCTAGATTTCAAAATACAGAATGGCTTACTCTTTCTTTACATGAGAGCCTGTCCTATATTTCCATCTCACCATTCCTCCACCCCAGTTACTTAATTTGGGAATGGTATGTTCCTACTTGTATAGCACTCATTTGTTCTTCAGATTTCTAGAGGAACTAGAACTGGTTGAATAGTCTTGGTGAATTTTTCTATTAATCATATGGTACAGGTGGAGTCTAAGAACACACAAACTAAGTATATCTTACTACAAAAGCCAAGGAGAAAAATGACTTGAAATATGGTATCTTCTTGACTAAATAGATAATTTTGCTTTCTATTGAAAGGATATTGATATCAATTTAAACATCATATATTATCACTGAAGTTAGATTTAAAATAGATTAAGAGGTGGGAACATATGGCAGGATTTGGAGCCAAGTTTATTTCTTCACCCAGGCAGTAAGTTTTAATCACATGTTCATTACGTTCTAGCTGTGCACATTGCCTACATCAGCATTATCTAAGAATCGTTAGATTATATATATTTCTTCTAGGAGTTTAGTTATTCCAATAGATGACTACTGTCCCTCTTCACCACATTGGTCTTAAGCTTAAAAAATTGTGGAAATAATATCTATGATACAAAGGAGATGTGTATTTTGTTTGTGCATATAGCTAGAAACAATACTCCAGAGGCTGTTTCTATAATTCAGCTACAAAAAAGCAAATGCATTCCATTCTTGGGTAGCATCAGTACGATGAAACATCTGTTATGCGAGTTGTTCTTCTATTGTGTTTCAAGAAACATGGCTAACTTCATTACAAAGCTCACAGCTTATAATCCATATGTCTATATACTAGGTGTTTTGAGTAAGTATCTCAAGAATCCCCTAATTCAAATGTTTTTTCTCCACTTTTTCTCCTTTGCATCATTCATATGAGTATGATTCCTGCTTTAAGTACATGATACCTATAAATAATTTCCTTTACCCTTTAATACTTTGTATGTTGTGATTTTTAAAAAGTTGTTGTAGGTATTTCTAGTTTCTGAGGTAAATTCGTACCAAAGCACTTTACTTCCCTCTGATTATAAAGAACAGATAGTAAGGATATTAATCCAATGGAAGAAATCAACTACTTTCTTTGGGTTTGAAAATGCAAAGAAGGAATTCATACTTATATGATAAACTTAGTAAAACTCTTCAGTAAGAGATTACTCATAATCTCACTGGAAATATTTTCTTACTTTCTGTTGTAATTTACTTATAACACAAAAACACATAAATGTTTGGCTAGATATTTATAAAACATAAAGACCAGTATGCTTCTTATTTCTGAATTTTCAAATGAGATCTAATTTTTCATATAGCTTAGGTAAGCATTAGTCTATCTCAGAAACACTGCAAAACTTTCTCAAATCAGACTCTAGTTTTTAAAAGTATTGAAAATACTGGTCTGGGATGACAAAAGCTCAAAGAGCTGCTAGCTGAGAAATAAGTGAACCGAATGAAGAATAAAGTATAGGCTTCAAGCTTCTAATGTGTATTTAAAATGTATCTGTTATGAAAACCTTTTGGGAAAAAAATCCTTCAGGTTCTGTATAGCCAAACTGGTCACCTTAGTTCGTTAAAGACTAAAAGTATATTAAGTCAGTGAAATATCCCATAGATCTTATAAATTATAATAGCCATTAATAGCTTAATGATGGTCACATAAATCATCTCTAACATGAGAAAAAACAGGGAAAAATAATCTAAATATCTAAATCAGATTTTTATAAGATAGTAAGAAAATACACAGGAAATAACTGAGACTAAATAAAAGAAATGTTCCTCTTTCTGACTTTGAGGATGTCACATATATTTATATAATAGTTTTTTTCATGTAACATATCTCTTGTAAATTTGTGCTTCGTGTTCTAATATATACAGTTGAACCTTGAACTACATGGGTTTGAATTATGCTGGTCCATTTATATGTGGATTTTTTTCAATAAATGTATTGGAAAAATTTTTGGTGACTTGTGAAAATGTGAAAAAACTCTCAGATGAACCACGCAGTCTAGAAATAAATAGTGGAAAAAAAAGAAAAAGTTAGGTATGTCATGAATGCAT